CTCTAGTTCTTCCTTTTTGTTACCTAGGCTCCTCGCATTGGTGTACAAACATCTTCATTTTTGCTGTTTGGCCTCATTCACATTCTTTACCCAATTTGGCATGGACGTTATACCTCCAATATGACCTGTTAGACTAGTATCCCTCCTACCCTTCCTCATGTTCATTCTCCTACCCCCAGCTATATCCTTTCTTACTTTGTTTTCCTCCCTCTTAGTGTTAAAATCTGGCGTAGAGATTACCTACGTCTCCCAACCGTCTCCCCCAGATTCCTAGTTTAAAGCTCTCTTAATCAGTTGAGCCAGCCTCCATCCTAGAAGTCTATTTCCCTCCCTACTTAGGTGAAGTCCATCCCTAGAGAACAGTCCTCTGTCCATAAATGCCTCCCAGTGACCATACATCCCAAAGCCCTCCTTATAGCACCACTGCCTAAGCCATCTATTGATCATCATAATCGTGTCACATCTTAGTTGCCCTTCTCTAGAAACAGGCAGAATCCCACTAAAGATCACCTGAGCCTCAATTTGCTTGAGCATCCTCCCCAGCCTAGCATAGTCTCCCTTAATTTGTTCCAGCGAGAAGCTAGCCGTATCATTTGTTCCTACATGAAGGATGATCAATGGATTCCTTCCTGCTCCCTTAATAATCCTCTTCAACCTCAGTTCCACATCTCGTATCTTAGCACCTGGCAGACAGCACACCCTTCTATTCTCTGGATCAGCTCTGGTAACAGGCCTATCTATTCTTCTCAATAAGGAGTCCCCAATCACATAGACCTGTCTTTTCCTAGTGACAGTGAAATTCTCTGGTCTATCTCTAGCTTCCTCTGGCTGCAAGTCCTTGCCATTCCTATTTTCCCTTGTAATCCTCTCTAACCCATCCTGTATCCTCCTAATGCTCATTATTGGTGTTGTCTCCATTAAGTCTTCCCCTTTATCTATGGGACTAGCTACTCTTCTCTTCTTCCTCACCCTTCCATCTTCATTATCTACATGCTGTACCCCTTCTTCATTCTCCAGCTCCACATACCTGTTCTAAAGCACTGCTGTCACCAACCTTCATTTTTAAAAGAGAAACGGAAGTGAATTAAAATAATTAAAAAAATAAGTTTAGTATTGTTTTCTTCCCCAAGTCTTTCCCTGCTTATGACTTCAAGGAGCGACTCTCAGAAATCTTCATGGAGATCGCACAGCCCATTAAGTGCAGGATTAGGGAAGAGGACACACACCTCTCTTTTATCACTCTTTAATCTTGTTAGGGTCAACATGGAGATATACTGAATCTTATCTACTAATTTCCAAACATCTGTACACAGCCATTGAAGGCAAAGATCCTGCAAAAATGTGACCATGGACTTAATTAGCATGTCAGAACTTCATTTATTGAGATAATGCATAGAAAGGAAGTAATGTAGACTGACTGGCCCCAGTGTCACAAATCACGGATACTATGAATGGTTAGCATGAATGAATCAACAGTAAGTGAGCTGAAGACAGGCTACACTGAGGTACAGGCAAGAGCCCCGAAGGATTATGGACTTGTTTACAACTTTAAGAAAAGAACTGCGTGAAATAAAAACTGTGTATGTGCGCTGAGGCAGCATTTCCAGCATTTGCAGATAAGAAAAAAAAAAGTAACAAGGGAAGAATTTAACCAAGGACAGACCATTGTTTCTTACTCCTGGTGAGAAACAAAATTGGGTGGTGCAAAAACCGGGTGTTTCTGGACTGGTCGTGGATACATCTGTAAGAAGGTGGTGTCACTAACGGACATCACCCCACTTGGACTGTGTGCAACCAGTGGATGCATCCCATCGGACTGCTGAGGGGATATATACACCACACTATTTTGTCCCAGGAATTGGAGTCCATCGATTCAGCGTATTAGGGTGATGTGCACGTTGGACTTCCGCCTCAACCAAATTAACCAACATTACCTGGGGTCTGGCCAGCACACACGAGAGAGAGACAGAGAGACAGAGAGTACGTGTGTTAAATTGGATTAAGAATTAGGCCTCTAAATTGGGTTAAGAATTAGATTTAAATTGTTAAGTATTCCATTTAATTATTGCTTTTAATGCCTTTTTATGCTTGCAATGTCTTTTAATGTCTTTCACGGTTTGTTTTAATTGTTTAAGTACTAAATATACATATACATATAGAGCTTTTAAAATTTCCTCCTGAATTGCTTCCAATAAACTTGTCAACGGTATAATCTCTCTACTATGGATCTCTTGTTCTGTGAGACGGTTACAATACATGGTTAGGAGCTCTGTTTGCTTGGCTTGATCACCCAGGCAACAGCAGAGCCCTCTTGTGACACCAGCTGAATTTATAGGAGTGGCAGTTGGGCAAAATAAAATATACTCAAATTATTATATAAACATGGTTGCTTTTTGAAGTGAATGTTCCCTTTTTAACTGTTTGTTTTCAACTCAGGAGTATGATTTTTAGCAAATAAAGCAGTATCAGTATAGAGGCTCCTACGAAAAAACAAGATCCATATTGTATTTGATTAATCTGTAACGGCACCTGACGGGGCATGTTTGCATCCTGTGGGGGCAATAGAAAGGCTATGAAGATGAAATATTGAGTTTGTGAATGAAGAGGCTTAGGATCATAAATTATTTTCCCTCCAAAGGGTTATAAGCATATGGGGAAATGGGGACAAAGTTTTTGGTTATCCAATATCTAAAGTTCTAAAGTGTATTTAGTAGTTAGTATTTTCTTGTAAGCACTTTGGGGAGAGATCACATCTACCTACCTGTGTGTCTAAGCAGCACTAAAGACAATGTAGTTCAGATGCCAAGAGTTGTCTTTGGCACTAGGGATATTAAGGACTAGTCAACTATCCAATAAACACTTGCTTATCAGATAATCGACAAGTCGCTTCCCCCTGCTGCCTCTATCAGATAGACACATCAAGGGGAGAAAAAAGAGGGTACTTCAAAGTGGCAGCACTGCACAGAGCCCGGGTCTCTGTGTGGCATTACTGCTTTGAAACATCGTGGTGGCATTTCAAAGGGGCAGCGCCACCCTATCGACTAATTGAATAGTTAAAGCAAAAATTTATCAACTATCTGATTAGTGAATTACACGCTACTTAACATCCTTACTTGGCACCAGTGTATGACATATAGTAAGTTATGTACCAAGACCGCATTTGGTGCTATAAAAAGACACATGAAAAAGCATTACAAGTGTTTCCAAATATAATTAACAAGAAATGTCTAAATTACATCATTATAAAGCTCAAGTCAAACTTACAGTTGCAAGGTTCTCACACCGAGATTGTATAGCCTGGATGAAAAGGCCACTGGCTGCAGAATTCCTATGAACAGCACTAATAAAGTCTTGTACTGGAGGCTCATGAGACAGATTAATTAGATCTTGAACATGATTCACTATAAGCCATGTCAAGTGTTCTGAATCATGTAGATTTTGACACTATGGAAAAAAGTAAAATAATTCTAATATTTCCATATTACTACCCATGTAAGCATTTCAATATTAAAAGAATAGCAGAAACAATCCAATATTATTTATATACGATTAAAAGCAAATAATTTTTCATGTGGGACTTTGTATCACATTAGGTTAAAAACATTCTGTTTACAAGTGTGTATATTTTAATTTCTTTTCACGTTTTTATTACCATGATCATTTACATAATGACCAAATTTTTCTTTTAACTTCATTTTATCCTGTAGCTAATCCATCTTAAATTATAATCCTCTATTTGCAACAAATTGCTTCAAATTCCATGATGTCATAATCATGAAGACAATGAATTCTGATAGAGTTCTTTCCAGTTGTTCTAATACAATCAGACCCTGCTTTTCTGCAACAGTTCTGTAATAATGAATAATAGATACACATTCAATATGTCAGAATTGTTTCTACAAAGTCTCAATGTCTGTCTGTAGTTTGTTTCCTTTTAAAATGTACACCCTATCTCTTTCATTGTAGCTGAGCTAGTTATACCTTCAACAGGATACATCTATACTATAACAAAAAAAAAAAAATTTAAAAACCCAATAGTCTGGTAGCACCTTAGGGTATGTCTAGACCACATCCCTCTGTCACCAGAGGGATGTAAATTAGACATACTGAAATTGCTAATGAAGTGGGGATTTAAATATCTTGTGCTTCATTAGAATAAAAATGGCTGCTGCTTTTTGCCGACACGGCACTTTGCCGGCAAAAAGCAGCAGTCTAGACAGGGATCGGTTGACAAGGAAAGCCTTTTCCGACCGATCCCTTATGCCTCATACAGTGAGGTTTACAGGATCAGTCAGAAAAGGCTTTCCTTGTCGACTGATCCCCGTCTAGAGACTGCTGCTTTTTGCCGGCAAAGTGCCGTGTCGGCAAAAAGCAGCAGCCATTTTTATTCTAATGAAGCACAAGATATTTAAATCCCCACTTCATTAGCAATTTCAGTATGTCTAATTTACATCCCTCTGGTGACAGAGGGATGTAGTCTAGACATACCCTTAGAGACTGACCAAAAAAAATATATAAATAGTATCATGCACTTTCACACATGCACAACCCACTTCTTCAGACAAGTATGGAAGAAGTCATCTGAAGGAGGTGGTTATGCCCACAAAAGTGCATGAAACTATATATTTTTTGGTTAATCTCTAAAGTGCTATAAGACCATTGTTTAAGTTTTTTTTGTTTTTGTTTTTTAAAGTTACAGACTAACATGGCTACACTGCAACAGAAAGCTTCCTTAAGCTATACAACTCCAGCTATGTAAACAACATAGCTGGAGTCGACATACTTTAAGTCAAGTTACTGTAGGTTCTAAACTGTGCGGAGTTGATGAGAGAAACTCTGCCATCAACTTGCCTTACTCTTCTAATTCAGGGTGGAGTAACAGGGTCTACAGGAGAGCAATCGGCGATCAATTTGACAGATCTTAACTAGGTTTGCTCAATTGACCACCACATGATTGATCTAAGAGCATTGATCCAGGTTGTAGTGTAGATGCAGCCTTAATATTGCTCACTTGAGGCAAAACAATCTTCTGCAAAGTGTGTACTAATATCAGTAGAGGTGCTGACTTCCATAATGCTGTGTTTGAGAGCATAAAAAATCTGAAGCCATAAGAGCTATCCAATTCCTGAAAACCTGAACAGAACTATGAAATGTGGGATCAGAGTTAAACAAATATTAAGGCGAAAAGAATTCATTCTAGTAATGTCTTCAAGAAACACTCAGAGGAGGGACTACACTTTTATAAGCTTCTGAATGTGCACCTGAAATCACATATGTAAGAATACAACAATCAAGAGATTATCGTTACTTATAAAGGATAACTTTGTAGACAATGACAATTCAGTGTAGCAAGAATGCCTAAGGTAACTCATGAGTAACTAAAATAAACACACTAATAAGATACATGAATAGAGAGAGGAGGGTGGGGAAGTATCCACTTCCAGAAGTAGAAATTGATATATAAAAATTCTATGTAGTTTCTTCTGGAAGTAAATACTACTAGGAGCTCTTAATTTTTTTCCTTATTGTGATTTAAAATAATTGTACTCTGCACCTAAAAGATAACATCCCAAGTAAAATCCCAAAACACTTTTTGGCATGAATTTCTGTTCTAAACTTACAACATAGTCACAAAAAAGAATGAGTGCTCCTCTTCGTACTATCTCTCGATTGCACATGCCAAATTTGGATTCTGAATCAAATTCATCACTGTTCCCAGATATCTGAGGACTCAGCAATTTAGTACTGGAAAGACTATGCCTCCTGCAAGAAAAACATATTTTATTGTTAAAGTAGATCCCTGATTTACATTTTAAATCAACCCATTTTATATATTCCTCAATATGAATTTCTTTGTCATTAGTTCTTCAGTCTTTTATGAGGTGCTGTGGATTATATCTGATCATCCCCTCGTTCAATATATATTACAATGTCGCTGACAGAGGGGCCTGCAACGAGTCATTAACTACAAAGCCTTCAATGTATTCATAAAACATAGCACTTCTTTCTATCCAGCTACTGTGATTGAGCATCTAATCCACTGTCAGGCTAAGACAGACACACAATCCTGATAAAAAGGAGATGATGCTGGTAAGTTAGAGGAACAGGAAGAACAGACAGAAGTTCTATTAGTTAGCTGATACAGTATTGTCCCATTGCTTGTTGTTCAAATTTGTTCTTTAACAGCAGCCTTCAGACAATCAAGTTGCAGTTAGGGCCTGGACCTGCTTTTTCTAATCTAGGTCTGACTACATTTGGGGTCTTTTCTTTCCAATATAGATTTCATTAATTTCATCCTTGTCATCCCATTGTCACTCAGTCTAGACCAGTGTTTCTCAACCTGTTTTTGCTCAAGGCTCCCTTCTGAGCCTCATTCATCACACGCCTAGCAGTTAAGTTTGTGTGGCCCCCTCAGAAACTTACTGTGGGCCCCTAATGTTCCGTTTTTTCCCCTGTGGCTCCCTAGAAGTAAGGCATGGCCCCCTGGGGAGCCATATGGCCCATGTTGAGAACTAGTCTAGACAATGCAATGCTTATAATCTACCCATCTACCAGACACTAAACTTTAAGACAATCTGGAACAGACCATTTCAGACGGGAGGATGTGTTATGCAGTGGCTGCTTAGCCAACAGAGCTTTCCATAATTATACCTCTTCAGTGCTCCATGGTCTATTGTTTGTGTAGCAGTTAGAGGCTAAAATAAGATGTTGATATGGACCTATAAAAAGCCATAAGCATCCTGGGATCTGACCAGACCACCTTTTTTTCTTAAGTAGTATTTCTACATAATCAGAGACACTCAGAGTGGAATCCCTTCCCTTTAAAAGGTGAGAGAACAATTGGGAGGGGGAGGGGGGGGACAGGAGGAGAGTTCTACCTGCTGGTGTGGGTCAGACTTTACTGACCTCATGGAACTCTGCAAAGACTGTACACACTTCTTGAAAGGAAAGTATTTTTTTTGGTGGTTCTATCACATATAGTACTCAAATTCTTAACAGCTGAGAAATTCATATAAAGCTACATCAAAAGACTAGTGTTTTAATTAAGTGTAGAAATTAAAATCAGTAGGGGAGACAGTCCTATTACAGCACACCTTTATTTCACAATAAAACAGACTTACTTTGGTGTTTGATGCACCTCTGACCACCAGCTGTAGTTAGTGTAATTGACAAGAAGTAGGATTTGACACCAGAGAAGCACTAAAGAAGGGTGTGTGGGAATCATGAACTGAACGAGACCACTCAGACTCTCAAGGGTATAAAAACTACCATCAGATCCATCTCCTGTAAAAAGCCTGCTGGCAGCAGCTGTGATTCTTCTGAACATCCCTGAAAAGAACACACACACATTAAAGAGGAACCACACATGCTACTGTGTGTACTGAGAATTGGAAAAAAAAATCAGACACTCAACGTTTGGAAAATGTAAACTGCTTCATTCACAACCAATCTAACTCTAAGCAATCCTATGCTAAGTTCCCTGTAAACTACACAGCTGCATTACCGTGCAGCTATTTATTGAGCCCTGCTCAGAGCTCCTGCACAGAGAGGGAGCTCAGCTCACTGGCTGGAGGAGGGACCATCTGAGCAGCTTCAAATGGAGCTGCCTGCTTCAGACAAACAATTTCAGAGAGCAGGTAGGGAGGGGAGATGAGGAGGAAAGGAGGAAATAGAGGGCCGGGGAGAGGGGAGAATTGTAGAGTAGGGGCGTTTGGGGAGAGGAAGAAGGGGGAGTAATTTGGCTGGGAGGAGGAATCAGGCAGGGAGAGTTTGGAGAGTCCCATCTGCTCAAAGAGAGGAGGTAGAGGCAGAAAGCTAGCCTTCTCCTCAAGCCTCCTAAGCTGGGGAGAGAGGTAGAGGGGAAACTGACTAAA